CTATATATAAATGAGATCTGCAGTGTCTCAAAACAATTCAAATGTGTCTTATTTGCCGATGATACAACTTTCTACTGCCCTGGAGAAAATATGAAACAGCTCCAGAAAACTGTGGAAAATGAATTAAACAAATTAAAAAACTGGTTCGACAGGAATAAATTATCACTTAACTTGAAAAAAATCAAAGTTAATTGTTTTTGGCACGAGACCAATCAAACACCAAGTTAAAATTAAGGTAAACTCAATTGAAATAGAACGAGCTTGTGAAAATAAATTTCTTGGATTCGTAATAGATGCAAAAGTATGCTGGAAGCCACATATAGATAACGTTGAAAGAAAAATATCCAAAACCATAGGGATCCTCCATAAAACTAAGGATGTGCTGAATAAGAGATCTTTGTACACATTATACTCTTCATTATTACTTCCAGATATGACCTATTGTGTGGAAATATGGGGAAACGCCAGTAAAATAAACACACTTCCTGTTTTAAAACTACAAAATAAAAAAAAACAGAATAATCAATAGATCCAAATATACGGAACCCACGAATCCACTATTTATCAAATTAAACATAATGAAATTTTATGACCTGGTTGACTTCACAATCACCCAATAAATGTACAAAGCACACAGTAACCTCCTTTGCCAGAAGCTTTTTGAAATTCGAGAAAGTTGTTAAACAAATCAGAATTAAATTGATAAATTTGATCCATTTATAAAATATAGTAATACATCAGAATTACATTGATAAACTTATGAAATGTATTAATAATGAAATGCAGTATCCATTATGAATATGAGAAAATAGACATATAAATGTGCTAGAATGAGTATGTATATACGAACCGAAAGTTTTAAAAATAGATAAATACAGCACACATAAGGGTAAAAGCATTTGTTGACATGTAGACTTTTTCCTTTTCTTTTCTGTATTAAAAAATGATCAATTCATATATGATATAACAAGGGGTAGGACTAGATAAGTTTTTTTACTTCTTCCTACTCTTTTGAACATATATTTGTGACGATGACTATTTTCTTTTCCTTTCTTATATTTTACTTACCTTCACTTTTTGCCAATTTATTACTGTATTTTATATTTTATATGTTCAACAAAACAAACAAACAAACCAAACAAACAACTCCGAGACAGTCCAGTCTCCTACAAAAGGAAAGATGATGGAAGTAAAATAGAGCACGAAAGCAATGCATTCTTCCCCTATGTAATCAACTCTTCTCATGCGTAGCGAGTCTCCCCCATAGCGTTCATACGTACCATTTTACATCGGTGCTGCCCCACAAACGAGCATTTACTCCGGAGCAAATTTTCAAACCATCTCTTGAGCAGGGCAGGGTTAAATTTGCTCTGGTTTAAGCTGTTTTCAGGGGCTACACCGGTGTAAGTTTGTACGTGTGAACGCTCTACGGGGGCAACCCTGGTGCTGCACCGGAGAAAAAGTTGCCGTGTGAACACCTCTTATCTATCCCCTCGCCTCCCCTCCATCCATTGCCCTAACCTGAAATAGAATGAATGAATTGTGTGTTAATTCGGCGAGGTGATGTGGATTGCGTATTAATTGATTTTTTGACTGAGCTTCAGTTAGCCCACCCACCCCTGTCAATTACCTTCATGAGGGCAATATAAATAAGGCTGGGTGATATGTTTGAGAATCGTGACATTACGTGACCAGCTGCGAGTTTTGAGCATATTTAGCCCATCAGCTGTTGTAAAAGTGCGACATAAATAAAGATGTATGGTATTGTATTGCAGCAAACGTGGCAGAAATGTCCGCCAATAAATGAAAGAAGAGGCAATAAACACAAAGTAATTGTTACAAAGTTGACCAAACGAACATCTAGACAGGCAGCTGACAAGCAGCTCTGACTTCCGAAGACTGCAATTTGCCTGATAACCAGTTCAGGGTGGAACCCGCCGACTACCCAAAGACAGTTTTGTGGAATTGACTTCATCACGCCTGCGAGCCTTGTGACGACATGCGGATCAGGCACTGGATGGATGGATGGACTATTTTGACAAGAGAAGCTCCTTCCCAACGTTTGTGTGACTGTGTCTGGGGGAGGAGTAAGCTGTTATGCATGGTATCCATCCATCCATCCATCCATTTTCCGATCTGCTTTATCCTCACAAGGATAAAAAACAAGACAGGACAACAAACCTGTTGAATCATTTGAACCCAAGTGGACAGCACGAAAATGCACGGTAGGTTATGTATTGATTATATGTTACGACTGGCGCGGCACCACTTCCAGTATCCCTTGGCAGGAGCCATGCAAAATTGGCTAATTGACATGCCAAGATGACAGCCATGTTTGCACTTAAGTCTGTGTCACTGTGCGCCACTGCATGCAGCATTGGGTGTTTTCTTGCGACATTGTGATTAGCAGGTGAATCTTACTGTATCGCAGCAGTAGTGGCTGCGAAAGTATCTTTGATGAACCAGACATTGGTGGTATATTGAGATCCATATAATTTTGGCCACAGATGAACAACGTCAGTGCACACAGTTGTCATGCGCTGACGCCTTTTGCCCCACTTACTTCGTGTTGCCATTGGCTGAAAAGTGGCATGACGTATCCATGAAGGCAGCTGCCTCATCACCACTTCCGGAAACGCTGAGATCGCCTGCAGCTGCCGCAACTAAATGTGCGACCCCTTTCTCATGGTCTGAATGCTTTGTGGCACCATGCTGCCTCTCACAGTTCACTCTTGGTACTGTATCAAACTGACATTTCCTTGAAAGTGTTGATATTGTTTAGTTTATGGTTTATGACACGATGTTTGTCTTCTCCAGTACATCACACACCATAAGAGCACTAAGTACACACTTGCTACACTTTGTTCATCATCTGTGGGGTCTCGAACAAAAATTGGTTGAGATGATAAAGATCAGCAAGTCCATGACACCCGTTGTTGACTTGGCCGCAGCGAGCCACAAGACTCATAAGATCTGTGCAGTGATCTTGGATTTGTGATAACTGAGTCAGTACAGCGGCCCGGTGATCCAGCGCGTCGACCTCACAGTGCAGAGGTACCGGGTTCAATCTGAGCTCCGGCCTCCCTGTGTGGAGTTTGCATGTTCTCCCCAGGCCTGCGTGGGTTTTCTCCAGGTACTCCGGTTTCCTCCCACATTCCAAAAACATGCACAGCAGGCTGATTCAGGGTGTCCCCGCGTACTACCCGAAGATGGCTGGGGAAGGCCCCAGCACCCCGCGCGACCCGAGTGAGGATAAAGCGGTTCGGAAAATGGATGGATGGATGGATGGATGAATCAGTACAAAAAACTATTAACCTGGACGATTCAGAACCCAAATACTTTCAGATTTTTAGGACACGACAAAGAATTGGAGCAGCTGTTGAAAATATTCTGCGTCTAAATAGAGTATTTAGTGGGACCTTGATTGCACAACAGCCTGACATTTTTTGAGTTATGAGCCACCGCTTCGTCGTTTTTTTTCTTTTGCTTTGGGTTGCTCGCAAGTTTTCCGTAGGTGAGCTTTTAGCGTTTCACCTCTAGATGGGAGCAGCAAACTTCACAAGAAAGTGAAGAAACTGCATGTCAGTAAAATGGCTCAAATTGTTCTTTTTTTGTGTGCGTTTATTTTGTCAATTTTTTCTTTTTTTTCCACAACTGTGGCTCCAAAGAAAGTGGGTGCTGGAACAAAGTGGATGATGTCTTTTCGCCCCTCCCGAAGCACTCCATGTGCAGTTTGGCAGACAGCAACAGTTCCTCAAAAAAAGGTAACATGCTTGTTTCAAGCAGTTTATTTACTCCCAGCTGAAGCTGACTCTAATGCTAAACAAAACAATGAGAATAACAACATTTGGGAGTTCAACCAAACCACCTGACTTTTGTCTTATGGAAGTCCGCTACCTCAATCCGAACGCATAATGTGGAACACCATAGATAGGCGAATAATATTTCATGACACACTTAAATTCATTTTTGTGTTTATTTTCAACAAGCAAAACCATGACATATTTTGAACTCTTTTATTCTCTTCTTTTGTCTTCCCCATGCGGGCACACTACATATCCTTTTTTACCGCACACATTTAAGATTAATTAAGCAATTAAGATATCCTTTATTTGTCCCACAATGGGGAAATTTACAGTCCACAGCAGCAAGATAATGGGGAGAAAGAAGAAAGAAAAAGAAAACAAACACCGTTCAATTAAGTGCAATATAAATACAGATATGGATAAGGTCACAGTGCTATTTACAATAGTCTTCCACATCATTTATTTATTTTTTTATTCAGCAGCCTGACAGCAGTCGGTAGGAAGGAGCGGCGGTATCTCTCCTTCTTGCAGCGCGGACAAGTCCAATGGTACAGACTGCAATCGTCTTTAATACCGAAAGTTTCTCTCAAACCCTTCAGTGCTTGCTCCTTTGTGATTTTCTTCCAGGCCTGTGGAACATTTGCCGGCTTGGCCACGTACTTTTTTGCAAATTCATTATTGTAGCGTACCAGGACATACTTCCAATAGTCTGATGCTTCAATTGTGGAGTCTTGGGGATGTGCCAGTCAGGAAAGATGGTCGCGTACTTTTTGTAGTCAACCCACTTTCCTTGTGTTGAGATGTTTTTAAATGTCTTATTACTCTGCACATCAGTTGTACACAGAGATTCAGTGAGGACGTTTGTGGTATAATCCATGCATCTTCCAAGACCCTTTGGTCGATGCACTGCCGCATGATGTTTGCTGTGTTCTTTGCCACCTGCTTCGCAGGGAACTTTACAAAATGGACACTATTTCTGTGTAAAAACATTTTGTGATTCTGCTGGCCGCGACTGAGGATATGATTTAAAAAAATGAGATTTAGATAAACTGCAGTTTCTTTGCCTCACAAAGGAAAAAAATGGAATAGTTGCTTGCACAATGTTGTTCTCGACGAATCCTCTCGTTTGACACAAATCATGTGGACACCACTCTTTCACGATTTCTCTCAGAGCCCACAGCATCAGAGTACACTGGTTGTTGTTGGAATGGGGCAACAGCAGTGGGACCGAAAACTGACATAAAGACATCTTGAGGGTCATTTCCTGCTGCAAGAAGCTGTCAGCACAAAGAAATAGACCTACTATCAGGTGACAGATGTGTTGAAGGATGTGATCCTTCACATATGTTTCATAGGAACGGATGTACTTGACAAAACTGATGAAGTCATCTTTCAGCAGTAACTCTTTCTGAATGTCGTATTGGAAACACGAGCGTGAACTGTAAGTCATCGAATGACTGCTTGTCGAAATGTCATTGACAATGTCAATTCCCAAAGTTCGGTTGATGCAATCTTCAATGGCCGGCTTTGCATTGGCAGTGATCGGTGTCTTTATATAAATCCAGAAAATCCAACAAGTACTGGTGCTTGTACTTTTCCAGTTGCGTTCAGCGGTCATTGTTTGACAGGAATCGTTGGTGCATCTTGAGGAATTCTCTTGCGGCAATGCCACAGATATGAAGTTTGAGGTCAATCTCAAACTGAGTATTGGTTTGGTGACACTTGTACCCTTGATCAAGCAATTCATCAATCCTCTGCAGCAGATCCCGTGTGAAAGAGTCATGGTAGTCACCATTGGACTTCGTTTTATCAAGGATAAACTGAATAGACGTTGCGATGACATTGTCTGCAAACAATTGTAAATTGCCCTTGTACATATGTTGAAATTTCTTCATGATGGAGTCAACATGGTCGCTTCTGGTCTTAAACGGGCCCATTCCAAAGTGCATGAGGTTTTCAATCTTTCTGAAGTTCTCATTCACGTTCTGATGGAGAACATTTTTCCTCAGTTGGGTGAGAATGTAGGCAGGTATGTCTTGTTCTTTCACTGTGGGTACGTTGGCCGTAGTGGTAGCCCACATTTTGTCAAACTCCTCTCTCAGTTGGTCATCAGACAGGCTGCAGTCTTTGAAGTCACGCAGAAGTTTCATGACTCTCTCTTCAATCACACCGCGGTACTCTCGTTGGATGTCCTGGGCCTTTTTCAAACCGGTCTTTCGCTCAAGGACTCTGTCCAAATGAGTACTCACTGAACACTCAATATCCTTGGACAGACTTGTGATACTATT